ATGACTTGGAACGCAGCGCACATGGGATGAATGGTCTGCGGTCTCCAGGTTTTTGTGGGCAATTGGTCATTCTGACTGAAATCCTGATGTCGTTCAGAGGTCGTTCTGAGGTCGTTCTGAGGTCGTTTGGGAGCCGAAAAAAATTACTAAATAATGACCCTTGAATACACAATAATTATACAATCTGAAAATCAGATCCCTGTCTGAATTCCCCGGAACGGGTAGGGTCCTCTGTGTTCCTAGTGGACATGCACTTCTTAGGTGCGCCCAGGATAAATTCCTTATAAAATGGCCCTATCTCCAAACATTTTTTGTGCACGTGCATTGGTGGCAGAGCACCGGGAAGAGTCTTGGGCTCGTAAAGACATGGTTCTAGAGGGAAACCGCTCAGGCTAGGGTCTCGTTGCAGAGATTACAAAGACCGTGCCAGATGCAATTTGCCAGCCCCAAAAAATGCATTTAGGGTGGTTCCGGGTGTAATTTGGCTGCTGATTTGTTTTAAATGTATCTAGACCTGTATATAAATATATGTAAATATGTATACTTATATAACTTATATACGTATATTTAGGAGGTCGTTCCAATGTCGTTCTGGATGTCGTTCAAAGGGTCGTTCCCCAACTAAATGGCACATTCCAAAATTACCAAAAACATCCGAAATAGCTGCGGCGGTGCCTGGAATTCTGAACGAAGGATCGCACAATACTACTGTAAATTAACCCCCCTTTTTTTGGGCTCACATTAGTATCATGTTGGTCAAACAATAATAAACCATCCCCCATATCACCATACAAGTAAGTAGGTGGTATACACTAACCATTCCCAAATGGGTGGTAAATTATTGTTTTACCCACATTAATCTCTTAAATGATCCACCAACATACCTGCTGCAGCCCTTTCAACCTGGGACGACAGGAAACTCATGGCCTATCTGCACATATAGGGCAAATCCCTTAGATCTCTGACTTCCAGGAGGTTGGCCCTATGGATCTCTGCTTCACTATGGAAGTTGGGAAACCAAGGGAAATACATCATCCAAATGGGCTGGAAATTGAGGACTTCGCCCAGAAATGGGAAAAATGCCAGGAAAACCTGCAACAAAACACTGGAAACCAATGAGCTTGGACCCTAGATTTGCAGGATTGGATATGATGTGCCCCACGAAAATGGTTCTGGGACATGAACCTTGGAATCTTGAATCTAGCCTGGCTTGCGATGGAAAAATATATATATAATTATATATACATCACTTCATCTGAAATCTCAGGCGTCCATGCGATGATGAAGAGACGTCTGACTCCAACAAAATCATATCATTTCTTGAGTTCTTGAAGCGAATCTCCCCAAGAGACATGATCAAAGTAGTCATCAAATGTCATCGGAGAAGCTTGTCTTGATTCTGTTTACATCGTGATGTGAGTTACATTGACTACAGTTCGGGTGTCGTGCTCCGATTTTCCTCTGTTCTGTCCTTCTTCACCGTCACATCCAGACTTTCTGTGCAAGTGATCGGACGGCAAGTAAGGACATGATGGGCTCCATTTGAACAGTGCCTTCCCTGGACACGGGCCCAAACTGACTACAAAGGAACGCAATATCTCCAGCAGCACACGCGGTGATGTTCTGATGTCAAACTGAAGAAAAAATTACACCACCGTAGACCCCAAACAGTGGGTGGATTCAAGAAGTGTTTTGGGGAACAAGGTCAAAGACATGAAATAGCAGCAACAGGATTAATGAAAATATCTGCAAAAAGTGCCACAAACCACTTTGTATACGTTTATTTTGTTCGGCTTCGCTTGCTTTGTTGCAACGCTAGATGCCGAAAAACGACGAAGGACATCCGATGACAAGACCGGAGAGGCGGACATCACCACTCAGGGAGACACATGAAGGGAGACAAATAAGGGAGACAAGGCACAGACAAGACCGGAGAGGCGGACACCACCACGCAGGGAGACACATGAAGGAATTATCTTTTAGCCATGGATCTACAAGTTCACAATCAAGCACCTCTAGTCAACAAGAGAACACTTGCCAATCTTAAACAGTCATCAACCGACAATCGTTCTGCCATCAACATGCTGAACTTTCATAAAACGGTCATTGCCTTTTCATCAATCATTAAACAAACATCAATCAAACCATAGGCATGTTCGATCCTTAGACTGATCAGTGATCATTCATCCGCTAATCACCTTTTGATCGTCAACTAAACTACCAATCACCATACCTGACCTTAGAACATACACTAAACAAATAGCAAGCAAGAAACATGAACCAACCATCAATTCCACCCATCCTAAGTTGGTTCTCTTCCTTTCGGCCAGGTGGAGCCCGGGGCTGCGGAACCACCAATCCAGAAGCTGCAGCTACAGATGAAAAACGCGCAAATGTGGGCTACGTATGCTTCGACATGTTTCATACTGCGAAATCATGATGAATACTGCCCAATAGTGATGTTCTTTTCAACTGGGTAGGGTGCCAAACAAGCTGCAAACGAGGACCGCAATGTTTTTACAGCTGGAGGTGCCACAGCTTGTGGCCCCGCTCAAAGCCGCGGCTAGCCCAGTACCTCTCTGTCTGAGGTACATGCCCTGGCGCGCCGCTTGCTCCTGGAACAACGGCGCCAATCAAGGGCAATAATTTGGGTGAAGATTTGTTTGGGGAATTTTCATTTTTTAGTTTGGTGATTTTTTTTGATTTCGGCTTGTGCCTGTTTCCATTGGTTTTTGCTATGTGTTGGTACTGGCATCATTGATTTTGTATGGTATTTAAAGCGTCTTTTTAGGATCTGTTTAGGGTTTGTTTAGGGTTTGCTTCAGGTCGGTTTGGGGTTGGTTTAGGGTTGGTTGGTGGTTTGTTTACGGTTTGTGTAGGGTTTGTTTAGCCTTTGTTTAGGGTTTGTTTAGGGTTGTTTATGGATTCTTTAGGGTTGGTTCAGGGTTGGTTTAGGCTTTGTTTCGGGTTGGTTTTAAATGTTGGTCTAGGGTTGGTTTAGGGTTTGTTTAGGGTTGGTTTGGTTTTTGTTTAGGGTGTTTATTTAGGGTATTTGTTTAGGGTTGGTTTAGGGTTGGTTTAGGGTTGTTTAAGGTTTGTTTAGGGGTTGATTTAGGGTTTGTTTAGGGTTTGTTTAGGGTTGGTTTAGGGTTGGTTTAGGGCTGGTTTGGGGTTGGTTTCGGATTGGTTTAGGCTTAGTTTAGGCTTTGCTTCGGGTTGGTTTGAGGTTGGTTTAGGGTTGGTTTAAAGCTGGTTTAAGGTTTGTTTAGGGTGTGGTCAGGGTTGGTTTAGGGTTCGTTTAGGGTTTGTTTCAGGTAGGTATTTCCATGGATGGATGGATGCATGGATAGATGGATAGATGGATAGATGGATAGACGGATAGATGGATAGATGGATAGATGGATAGATGGATAGATAGATAGATAGATAGATAGATGGATAGATAGATAGATAGATACATAGATTAGATAGGTAGATAGGTAGATAGATAGAAAAAGAAATATAGATAGATAGATGGATTAGAGAGTTAGATGGACAGATAGACAAATGGATGGATAGATGAATAGATTAGGTAGGTAGGTAGGTAGGTAGGTAGGTAGATAAGATAGTTAGTTTGCTAGTTAGATAGATAAATAAATAGATTAAATTCGATTAGGTTAGATTAGATTAGATTAGATAGTTAGATAGATAGAGAGATAGATAGATAGAGAGATAGAGAGATAGGTAGATAGAAAGATAGATTAGATAGTGGGAGAGCTAGATAGTTAGATAGATAGATACTGTAGATGGAAAGATAGATACTCTAGATGGATAGATGGCTTCATAGTTAGATACATGCAAAGACACATGGGTTGGCTACAGATACCTACATATACAAAAATCACAAGGTTTGTTTGGGGTTTGTTTGGGGTTTGTTTAGGTTCTGTAGGGTAGAAAGGCTTAAGAGCTAAGACAAAAGCCAAAAGCCAAAAAGCAAAGAAACAGAGGCGCAGAGAAGCAGAGAAGCAAAGAAGCAGAGAAGCAAAGAAGCAGAGAAGCAGAGAAGCAAAGAAGCAGAGAAGCAGAGAAGCGAAGAAGCAGAGAAGCAAAGGGAACTGAATCCCAAAAAAACATTCAATTAAAAAATATCTAAAAAAATGCCACCCCAAGAATTTTGCGGTGGCGGGCGCTTAGAAAGTTTCCAAGTAAATAGTGACAACACATTCAAAAATGAAAGGAAGTTTAGAAACATCCTGCGATAAGGGTTTGGCTTGGGGGGTTGGGGAGGGATCATTCTACTTACATCATTGCTTGGCTTAGCCATTTAGGGTTTGATTGGGGGGTGGGGAGGGATCATTCTACTTACATCATTGCTTGACTCAGCCATTTAGGGTTTGGTTGGGGGGTGTGGACAACATGATGATGGGGCACCCGCCCTCCGACCCCTCATGATGGTCAACGTGATGATGATAATAATGGTGATGATGAAACATGTATATTGCTGACGACGACGACGACGAGGAGGAGGAGGAGGCGGAGGAGGAGGAGGATGATGATGATGATGATGTTGAGGTATCCCGAAGCGATGCATCAGGCGTAGCCCGAAGCGATGCACCTGACGTATCCCGAAGCGATACCCTTGCCAAATTGAAATGTAGGGATATGTAGGGATACTTTCTGAGAACTGCTCCAAAGACCTCATTGGTTGTAGACAAAAAGGCTCTCGCATGGCTTCTCCACCACTTATTTTTCACTCAGTCACTCAGTGTCAAAAAGATTGCAGCTAGACCAAATCATCGGGATATCGGAAGCAAATGGGATCTGACTGACCGACCACCAAGTACTCTCTCTATGAAGAAAAAGACAACATGAAGGAAAACGCATTGCTGCGTGGCTTCCATCTAAACATCACCTGCCAGCAAACTACTGAAGAGGCTGGTCTTGGTGTGCTGCTGCTGTGCGATGCAGGCTCGATTTCCGGTCCCTGAAACGAACGGTTCCACCGCTGTCTAAATGGAGGCTCAGCGACCACTGCGGAAACAGCCTGGCTGGTCCGGGGTTTTTTGTGCTTGGCCATCCAGTGGTTGTTCCAGAGACGCCGGGCCTGGCATGACGCAAAAATTGCAATAGGTCATTGTGTACTCTACCTGTTGGGAGCTCTGTGCGATATCCAAGGAATGTACCGGTACCGCCAGGCGCTTTTCGCCTACTGCCTTCCAGGCAAAGGTGGCACACCAAAACAAACTTGCAATCTGCGGCTTGGGACTGATCTTAAATAATCTTAAATTCTCATCTAAGGAAAAGTTCGGCAATGTTCGGCAGGATGTCTTGGCCCTGTTTTGGGCCATCCCTTGGATGCGCTGACCTCAGTGAGGTGTTGAAAATTCAAGGCTTAGCTTGAGCAGTGACTGGCCGTCAGTCACTCACTTCTCCGAAGATTCGAGACGCAAAGGCGTCCTGACACGTTGGAGCATGCCGCGCATGGACCTGTAGAAAAATATTGCCTGCCACCATTGATATCAATTGATATCATGATACCAGTAGTACCGCACAAGGCGGTGGCAGAAGTTTCAAAAATAGGAAACCTATAGGAGAGGTTGGTTGTTGTGAATCAGGGATGGCAGAGCGAAGCCACTGATGGACCGAAAGGTGGTTGAGGCCTCCTCTCTTTCTCTCTCTTTCTCTGACTATCTACCTACCTACCTACTTACCTATCTATCGATCGATCGATCTATCTCTCTCTCTCTCTTTCATCTAATTACCTATCTATCTATCTATCTATCTATCTATCTGTCTGTCTGTCTGTCTGTCTATCTGTCTATCTGTCTATCTGTCTATCTGTCTACCTGTCTATCTGTGGTGCAGTGTCATTCAGTGTAATGTAGTGTAGTGTAATGTAGTGTAGTGTAGCGGAGTGTAGTGGAATGTAGTGTAGTGTAGTGTAATGTAGTGAAGTGTAGTGGAAGGTAGTGTAGGTAGTGTAGTGTAATGTAGTGTAGTGTAATGCAGTGTAGTGGAGTGTAGTGTAGTGCAATGTAGTGTAGTGTAGTGTAATTTAGTGTAGTGGAGTGTAGTGGAGTGTAGTTGTGTAGTCGTAGTTGTACTTGTAGTGTAGTGGAGTGTAGTGTAGTGTAGTGAAGTGTAGTGGAAGGTAGTGTAGTGTAGTGTGAGGTAGTGTAGTGTATTGAGTGTAGTGTAGTGTAATGTAGTGTAGTGTAGTGTAATTTAATGTAGCGGAGTGTAATGGAGTGTAGTTGTGTAGTTGTAGTTGTAGTGGAGTGTAGTGTAGTGTCATGTAGTGAAGTATAGTGGAAGGTAGTGTAGTGTAATGTAGTGTAATGTAGTGTAGTGTAATGTGGTGTAGTGGAGTGTAGTGTAGTGTAGTGTAATGTGATTTAGTGTTGTGGAGTTTAGTGGAATGTAGTTGTGTAGCTGTAGTTGTAGTGTTGTGTAATGTAGTGTAGTGGAGTGTAGTGTAGTGGAGTGTAGTGTAATGTAGTGTAGTGAAGCGAAGCGAAGCGACATCTGAACCTCCAAAAGTGGTCTGAACGTGGTGTGTTTTGTACATTTTGAAATCGAAATGTGCTTCGCGCCACAACGGCGTGCACTTTTTCGACATCGCAACTGCCAAAAGTGGTCCGAAGCTGGTGTGTTTTGTACATTTTGATTTCGAAATGTGCTTCGCAACACAACGGCGTGCACTTTTTCGACATCGCAACTGCCAAAAGTGGTCCGGACCTGGTGTGTTTTGTACATTTTGACTTCGAAATGTGCTTCGCGCCACAACGGCGTACCCTTTTTCGACAGCGCAACTGCCAAAAGTGGTCCGAAGCTGGTGTGTTTTGTACATTTTGACTTCGAAATGTGCTTCGCGCCACAACGGCGTGCACTTTTTCGACATCGCAACTGCCAAAAGTGGTCCGAAGCTGGTGTGCTTTGTACATTTTGACTTGGAAATGTGCTTCGCGCCACAACGGCGTGCAATTTTTCATCTCTCATCTGGCCAGCTAGCTCCGCACCCGCCGCTTTAGCGAGCCTACTTTTCGACCCCCCGGAGCCACAAATCATTGGAAAAACATAGTGCTTCGCGACTTTCCTACCTTTTCGCGCATCTGCATCTTCTTTCTTCTGACTCGTTCTCTTCTACTCTTCTCTCTTCTAATCTTTCTCTTCTCTCTGCCTCTTCCCTGCTCTGCTTTTCATCTGTCCGACATTGTCGGAAGTTTGACTTCTAAACTTCCTTCGATCATATGAAAATTATGAAACTCCAGCACGTCTTCGAACTCCAGTTGGAGACGTCCAAGCAGTTGAAGCAGTTGGCACAGGCGCTTACCCCAAAACCCATTTTTTTATTTTCCCACAAGGAATTCGGAGATGACTTCGACCCGATTTTTTGGGACATGCTGGCATCCCAAGGTGCTTTCACCATCCCATTCTGGCAATGCCCCCCTTTGGGTTTGTCCAAAAAGGTGGAACACCATGTTTTTTTTAGTTGTTTTTCTATGGTAGCAATGTTTGATGCGGAAAACATCTTCCATCATATTCCATCATTTATTCATATCTATTCATATTCCATGAAAATACTGCAACACTTGGTGTTTTTCACCCTTGCTGAGGCCTGGTTCCGGTCCCTGTGCCAGGCCTGAGACAGGACATTCATGGAGACCTGCCGGGGCAGAATACAATCATCCCCATTAAACAAGGTTAGTTAAAACATCTTAGTCAATTATAAATTGTAAAATATTATAAATACATGTTAGTTGTAAAATATTATAAAATCTTAGAACCAAGACCCAAGCATCAACCAACCACATTTGCCGGATACATTCCCATTGTTGGGCAACCATCATGTTTGGATTCTGTCGATTCTGTCCTCTTTCATTTGTTGCTTGGTATCCCCATTTCCGGTTGGAGTATGGACGCGATCAGCATGTTTCAAACTCAAGTTTAAAAGGTTAGTTTTGAAGTGGAAAAGGTTAGTTTCTAAACCCGAGGCCCGGCTGGGTTGTAGGGGGGGAGCGGGAGAAACAAACTAACTCTGAGGAAAAAGGTCTCTTTCTGGGGGAAAAAGAAAGGTTTTGGGGGTGGGGAAACGTTAGTTTCTGGCTCCGGAAACAAAGGTTTGGGCTAGGGAAAGGTTTGTTTCCGGGAGGGAAAAGAAACGGTTACAGGAGAGGTTATCGGAACCATAGGGAAACTAAGGTTTCAAAACTATCGTTTCGAGGTCGGGAAACAAAGGTTTCCAAGCCGGAGAAAATGAGTTTGTAAGTTTCCGCTTGCTCCCGGAGCAGCAGCACCACCTTGAGCGGTGGCAGCGGCAGCAGCAGGCAGCGGGCGCAGCAGGAGCCGCAGGGCCGCAGTAGCATTAGCAGCAGCCGCAGCAACAGCAAGAGCAGTCGCAGCAGGAAGACGAAGTAGAAGCAGAAGAAGAAGCAGAAGAAGGAACAGAAGAAACAGAAGAAACAGAAGAAGAAAAAAAACAGAAGAAGACGAAGAAGAAGGAGAAGAAGAAGAAGAAAAGGAAGCCGAAGAAAAGGAAGACGAAGAAGGCCACAGCATGGCGAGGCCGAGATGAAGGGCAGCCCGAAAGGTTAGTTTCATTGCTTTCAAACTAACGTTTCGAAACGTAAGTTTTTCCAGACGAAAAAGTTTGTTCGAAACAAAAGTTTTCCGTGTCCATGAAAAACAAACGTTTCAGCTTGGCAGTCTGGCAGTTTGTTATTCCAACCCAAAACAAACGTTTCGTAGAATAGTTTGTTTCCGTACCTAAAACAAACGATTCTGAAACAAACGTGTTCGCAAAAACCAACAAACAAACTAGTCAAAATAAGGTGTGTTTTTGAGCGCTTCAAACTAGTTCCGACGGAGTTTGTTTTGAGTTTCCAGTTTCAAACTAACGTTTCCAAAAAAAGTTTGTTTCGATCCCTGAAACTTACGTTTTCGCAAGGGAAACGTTAGTTTTTTGGAGGAAAACATGTGTTTTCTCGTTCCACTGCTTCCAGTCCCAAGCTTGGACAACACCAAAACATTAGTTTCCGCCTGGAAAACAAACCTTTTCTGCCGTCTAGAAACATTTGTTTCAACCAGGAAAACTACAGCTTGAGTATTGTACAAGAATGCACTGTATAAGAATTTGAGGGGCTCGGTTCCAAGATGGGCTATATATTTTCAGCTATACCAAACACATAGCACGTTAAGAATTTGAGGGACCCTGGAATCGGACTGCCAAATTCTTAAATAACTGCTTATACGTGACCCCTTGTACTGGAGACTTCGAAATTAGGCGGGATCCGCATTCCTCCTAGTCCATCCTAGTCCTGGTTCTTTTCCTGGCGCCGCGGCCCCGCTGCAAGCAACCAAGGCCAAAAACCAGCGTAGCCGGAACAGCTACGCAGGATTCCGGCCACGACAGAGCCCAGCGCAGCCAAAACCCTGGTATAACGCAAAATCGCGCGTAGATCGACGCGTTTTTGCGTTTTCCTGGCGCCGCGGCCCCGCTGCAAGCACCCAAGGCCAAAAACCAGCGTAGCCGGAACAGCTACGCAGGATTCCGGCCACGACAGAGCCCAGCGCGGCCAAAATCCTGGCATAACGCAAAATCTGACCACATGCGTGACTTGCTACACTGACCGTGTGATGACTCGCTTCCTTCAAGCAACAAGCAACAAACGCCAAGCCCAAGCCTGTGAAGGGCGCGCCCGGGGGAGAATCGAGCCTTGGCGCGGCTGCGGCGCCCGGGGGCTGGACATTAGTCCGCTGGATAAACCGCCGAGCCGCCGCCGCCGGGGTTGCCCGGCGGCCCCGAGCCTTCAGGGCCTCTCCAGTGGGCGCTGGGACTGCTCTGCCCAGCGAGACCGGGCTCAAAAAGTAGACTGCGTTTTCCTGGGCATGACGGGTGTCATCTTGCGTCTGCGCGGCGGCCCCGCGGCAAGCAACCAAGGCCAAAAACCAGCGTAGCCGGAACAGCTACGCAGGATTCCGGCCACAACAGAGCCCAGCGCAGCCAAAACCTGGTATAACGCAAAATCGCGCGTAGATCGACGCGTTTTTGCGTTTTCCTGGCGCCGCGGCCCCGCTGCAAGCACCCAAGGCCAAAAACCAGCGTAGCCGGAACAGCTACGCAGGATTCCGGCCACGACAGAGCCCAGCGCAGCCAAAACCCTGGTATAACGCAAAATCGCGCGTAGATCGTCGATCTACGCGCGTTTTTGCGTTTTCCTGGCGCCGCGGCCCCGCTGCAAGCACCCAAGGCCAAAAACCAGCGTAGCCGGAACAGCTACGCAGGATTCCGGCCACGACAGAGCCCAGCGCGGCCAAAACCCTGGTATAACTTTTGCATGAGTAGTCA